TCACTCTGCTCGCGCCCTGCCGCGCAGACCGTTGGGCGATTGCCGCGGGAACGCCCGAAGGCGTCGCGTACGCGCCGTTTGTTTGGGGCCGCCAGCGCGGCCAAGAAGCCGAGGCCTCCGAGGGGGGGCGGGGGGGGCTCCCTCAGGAGGCAGGGAGGCCTCGTCGACGGGCCTCCTAGGCGCCAGGAGAGGTCCTGCACGGCCCCCAGGAGGGCTCAGGGACCGCCGAGGGGGCTCCAAGGCAGTCCAGGAGGCCCGCCTGAAGGAGCCGACACGACGGAAAGAGAAGCCCGAGGAGGAGGAGGAGGAGGCGGAGGAGTAGGAGGAGGAGGAGCGAGGAGGAGGGGCCAGGAGGAGGAGGAGGACTCCCAAAAGCTCGCTCGGAGCGCGTCCTGGGCAGAGCTCCGAGGCGGACCCAGCTCTGGCGACGAGAGCGCCTCGAGGCCCAACAGCCTCCATCCTCGTCCCTCCTCCACCTCCTCCTCCTCCTCCTCTTCGTCCTCATTCTCGTCCTCCTCGTCCTCCTCCTCCTCGTCCCTCCTCCACCTCCTCCTCGGCGCCTCGTCCCTACTCCTGCTCCTCCTTCTCCTCCTCCTCCTTCTCCATTCCCTCTTCTTACAAGTTACTTCTCCCTGTCGAACCCCGAGGCCAGTTTTTGTTAGGGCGGGCCGGGCGTTTCGCCTGAGACTTCCTCACCATTTATGAGCCTGAAGCTGAAACACTGGCAACAACTTCACAGATGAAGGGCGGGTGGTTTTCAACATGTGGTTCTCGCCTTAGCGCCGCGCACATTCGTTTCGAAGATGTGCAAGAGTTTCACGAATTGAGGGCGGGTGGTTTTCAAAATGCGGCTCTCGCCTTCTAGCGCCGCACACACACACACACTCGTTTTCAACATGTGCAGGAATTTCACTGATTGAGGGCGGGCCGACTTCAAACTGTGGATCTCGCCGCGTTCAAAATTTGCAAGCAGTTTCACGGATCGAGGGCGGGTGGTTTTCAAAATGCAGCTCTCGCCTTAGCGCCGCGCACATTCATTGTCAACATTTGCAAGAATATCGCGGATTGGGGGCGGGCCGATTTCAAAATGCGGCTCTCGCAGTAGCGCTGCGCACATTCGTGTCCACAATGTGCAAGAGTTTCGCGGATTGAGGGCGGGCCGATCTTAAAATGTGGCTCTCGCCGCAGCGCGGCGCACATTCGTGTTCAAAATGTGCAAGAACTTCGCGCATTGAGAGCGGTTTCATTTCAAAATGTGGCTCTCGCCTTAGCGCCGCGCATAATATTGCTAATATATTGCAGGAGTTTCACGGATTCCCGTGATAGACATACCAGAAACGGTTTGTTGGGAGGGTTCACGATTATGGAGGCGCAACAATTACGATGATTCGCGGTGTTGAAGTCCAAGGAATGGCGTTCTGACACGCTTCAGGGTCGTCGAGACGCAACAATCAGGTTGATCCGTGGCGGTTGGAACACCAAGAGCAATGTTTCGGCATGCTTCAGGGTCTTCAGACGGGTGGGCTTCGAACGAGGCAGGACCCTTTGTTGGAATGAACCGTTGTAGGGGCCTGTGAAGAGGGAGCTCGGGGGGAGGGCTTATTTCAACATCTTTGGTGACTCTTGGGTTCACACTGGTCCTCCGCCTTCCTCCTTGTCCTCCTCCTGGCCCCTGCGCGAGCGTGAGTCCACAAGCCGTGCACAGGCAGACCCGGCGAGGGCCACTGCAAGACGGTGGACCTCTTCCGGCCAGGTGCAAACATTGGCACTGCCAGGAGCACGGGAAATGAGGAACCAACCTCCCTAGTTCAAAACCCAGCCACACATTTCTAAGGAACGGCCGAGCCTCTTTTGGGAGGCGTCCCCTCGTCGTTGCCTCTCGTTCAGTGGTCCACCCCTCTGCTGAGGCCCAAGGAACGGACTCCCTTGCAAACCTGCGAGGGAACGCAAGCAGACACAAGGAACCACCGAGCCCCTTTCTGAACGCGAGCTGGACCTCATTTCAGCGCCATTGGTGCACGAGGAAACTGGAAACATACATGGCTGGCTTCACATGCGGCACATCTGGAGGCCACTTGCTGGATACACATGTGTAGGATCACCGTGCCTGGCCACACGAGGGCCGAGGGCTGGAACGACAGGTGGTCCCGCGTGTATCCAACTCTCGCCCAGGTCCGCCACGTCATGTGTATCCAACTGACCTGTGTTGCCAAGGAGATAACCCCACCCTCTCGTGGCCGCCAGAAGTGCTCCACAGCGCCCTGCCCCCCCCCCCCCCCTCTGCCGCACCGTTGTCCACAAGACTCGGCTTCGGGATCTACCGACGCGGGTCAATGCAAACCTGGGCCAATTAGGCCTTACAAAACCCTGCGAAATCCTGCGGAATCCTGCAGGATCCTGCAAGCTCACCCGGGACGGTGCACCCCAGGCTCTGCAGGATCCTGCAAGACCCGGCGGTCTGACTGACCCCCGTGTGTACTGACCCCCCGTCTTTTGAGCC